TTGGTGACTGCTGTCCTGGACAGCAACATCACTACCTTGGGGGAAGAGAAAATGGGCCTTCTAGCACGGGCACTGCCACCACAAAGAACAGTGAAAGTAAGACAAAGGGAACGGTGAACACTGACTGCTGGGAGTGACGTGATGGTGTCAGAGAGAAGATCGTGTGCACAGAAGGGACAAGGGCAAGTTATAGAAACACAGCCAGGAAGAAGTCCTCAGCAGGAGTTAGTGCAGATGTGCTTCCAATAGTTCAGGGTGGAAAAAACTTCTTCCAATAAACAAGGGGTAACAGGAAAGGAATAGGGTCCCCAACCAAGGCTACTTCCACCTCTTCAGGTTTTACTCAAATATCCCAGTGTGAAGAGGAGGAGGGGGGGGGGGGGAGAAGGAGGGAGGGGAAAGGGAGGAGGAGGGAGGGAGGGAGGGAGGGGAAAGGGAAGGGGAAGGGGAAGGAGAAGGGGAAGGGGGAAGGGAAGGGGAAGGGAGAGAGGAAGGGGGAGAGGAAGAAGAAGGGGAGAGGAAGAGGAGGAAGAAGAAGAAAGAAAAAGAAGAAGAAGAACCTTTGTAATCCCCCAGTAGGAACTGAACCAGGAAGACACACATCCTTTCCATGTGGAAACTAAGCCAATGGCTAGCTCAGCCCAGCCTTGACTGGCCCAGATTTCAAGGAAAATAAAGAGAGAATCCGCTGAGGTCCAGAGGACTCCCATCTTCTTTTTCTCTGTATTAAAAGTGAAATCTTCAGTATTTTCACAATTAAAAAAAGCATAAAAAATAAATAAAAGTGAAATCTTCACCTGGGAACAAATGCTTTCATCACTAGAGATTTCAAGGTCAAAAAGGAGGCCATTCTTAGGGAGGAGCACAGAGTCCCCAATACTTATGTGCATGTGATCATATAAAGTAATACTTATTGGAATGACCTCTAGGAAATGGAAACAAGAGGGTTTTTTTTTTCTTTGTTGCTATGTTTTATTTTGTTTTCCTTTTGTCTTGTTTGTTCATTTATCTGTCTTTCGAAGAGGATGAGGAGGTACAGAAATGGTGGGACAAAGGGTGAACAACTCCATCAGTGATACTCACTAAATACTACATTGAAAACAAACTATACAACTTGTGGGTGGGGACAGGAGGAAAAAGCCGGAAGAGAACAAGAGAAGGGGTAACACTGATCAAAAAGGTACTTTTATTTGACTTATATAACTATAACCCCTCTGTACATCATCTTCACAATAACAATAGAAATGCATTAAAAAGAGAAGAAAAAAAAAGCTGGTGCCCAGTGGCTCACACCTATAATCTTAGCTACTCAGGCGGCTGAGATCTGAGGATTGTAGTTTGAAGCTAGCCTGAGCAGGAAAGTCCAAGAGACTCTTACGTCTAATTAACCACCAGAAAATCAGAAGTGGAGCTGTGGCTCAAAGTGGTAAAGTACAAGCCTTGAGCAAAAATGCTCAGGGACAGTGTCCAGGCCCTTGAGTTCACGCCCCACAATTGACAAAAAATAAAATAAGCAGCCAAGTGCTGGTGGCTCATATCTGTAATTTTAGCCTCTCAGGAGACTGAGATTTAAGGATCAAAGTTGAAAGCTAGCCCATGCAGGAAAGTTTCTAAGACTCTCATCTGCAGTTAACAACCAAAAAGCTCAACGTAGGGGTGTGGATCAAGTGACAAGCGTGCTAGCCTTCAGCAAAAAAAAAGCTCAGTATCACTGCCCAGGCCCTCAGAGCTACAGCCCAGCACAAAAGTACATAAAAATAAATAGATAAACAAACATACTGACTGAAATCCATTCACTAGATGGTGTGATCAATCAGGGAACAAATGTGAACAATGTCATTTATTATAATAAGTGTCATTAAATGGAATTGGCTAGGTTCAAAGTAGAAGAATGTAATTGAAAGCCTGGGAGAGGAAGGTCTGCCAAGCACCCACAGAGAAAGATGAAGAGCAGGGAATTCCAGACAATGTAAAGCTACCTATCCTTCAGGACAGCCAAGCTTCCTGTGCCGACTATTTCTTTAAGAAGAGTTCAC